GACCAGAACAGCGTCTGGAACACAGTTTTAAAGAGAATAAAGCGTTTCCACAGCTCAAAGCCAGCTTTTTAGTTACACATAACAGGCGTACAATTTCAGCTTTCACAAGACATATGACTCACAATATCAGCTTCAAACATCCCAGCGGAACATGCAGCGTCTTTGCTCCAAGCGCGCAGCTCCAGCACGCTGCGTAAACATGCAGTGTTTTGACTGCTACTTTCCTCATGCCAACATGAAATATCAATTATTACACGAATACACAGTCCATTTATGAGCACGTGACGGGCCACCAAAATGTAGATGAACAGATGCTCAGATATATTCATCAATTAACACGGATTCCTCATTTTTCTGGACTGAATAAAATGTGCATTGAATTTAATGAAATGCAAACGTGAGACGTCATTTATCTTTGACCCATCAAAATGAATGCGGTCATTTATTTACAGAATCAAAGTTTAACATCAAACATTTACATTAATTTGGCAAAATATGAAAATAACACATAATCAATCAGGAAAACCATACGGCCATGATTTTCCGTTGCTTCACCACAGACATTTATGAAACTGTACAATTATGATTTTCATCCACACGGCGGTGGATGAGCACTTTACACAGACATTTCTAAATTATCTGGAAGGATTTCTACTTTAGAGAAGAATTTAAAGATGAAAAGGAAGTTAAAGGGAGTAAAAGATGGTATGTGAGGGAGAGTGTTGAACAGAACGGCACTCTCCGGGCTTTCTTCAGCTTCTTCCTTACAGTACACTTAGGTGGTGAAATCGACTCTTTTACCTGGAGATGTCTCAGGCGAGATTCCGTTTAACGCACCCTTTCAGCGTCTCCGTAGGATGGCTGTGAATCGTCCGGAGTAATGGCGAGATTCTGTCCGACACAAGCTCACCTCAGTGGAAAATGTTATAATCCCATGAAACTCGGAAGAGCTCTGTGGTCATGTCAGGGTCTTCCCGGCTCCCACAGCAACTGCCAGCACTAGGACATATCAGAACTGTCCGCACCGCCGAACTTCTCCAAACCCACAGAACTGGGTAAACCAGGAAGTACCGACATTTTAAAGAGCTCTTTTCCCGGTTCATTCGGGAGTCTCGGATTGGTCCAAAACAACCAGACAGGGGTGTGTTTTGTGATGTAAGAGGGTTACTAAAAGTCAGAAGACAGCAAGAATGTTATTGAACAGATTAAACTGTTCTCACAGACAGAGAGTGTTTTGTTTTGGCGAGTTTTAGAAACAGGTGCAAAAACCCCCCTGTTGACGTCTGAGAGGATGTAAAAACAAGGCAGTTGTTCCAACACATGTCTGCTTCGATTCCTGACCCTGGAAAACGCACACTTGCTCATTCAAAGACAGAAATCAGAAAATGCATAATTACTCTGTAACAGCTTTAATATGAATTCTAACTTTGCATGAGAATTAAAAATCATTACACTGTTTCAGTTAATAAAATCGATTAGTTCACTGTAACATCTAAAATGGTTTGAACTAAGACACTTTGATTATCAACATTTGTAAAATAGTAATGATAATAGAAAAGAGAGTGTTCTTCCACTTGAATTTTCAAGAAAGAGAGTCTCAGGATGGGTGAACCTGTATTTCTGGATTCAAATCAATGAAATGACAGTTCCTGTCCCACAAGGTTCTTAAGGTCAAGGGTTTTGACCTTAGGCTTAGTCTTGACATCAGGTTAAGTTCACTACAGCTGCACAATCATATGTGAGCAGAGTAAACAGAAGGGGGCTCAACACACATCCCTGAGGAGAGCCAGTGCTGAGGGTTATGGTGGAGGAGGAGAGGTTGTGGATCCTCACTAACTGTGGTCTGTTTGTTAAAAAGTCTAGTACCCAGTTGCAGATGGAGGGGCTTAGTCCTAGTGTGGATAGTTTGTCCATCAGGGTTTGGGGGATCATGGTGTTGAAGGCGGATGTGAAGTCCACAAAGAGCATACGGACGTAAGAGTTTTTCTGCTCCAGGTGGTTGAGTGCAGTGTGGACCACAGAGGAGATTGCATCCTCTGTTGATCGGTTCTCACGGTATGTGTACTGATGAGGGTCCTCGTTGATGTTGATGGTTGTTTTGATGTGAGTCATGACCAGTTTTTCGAAGCATTTAGCGACTATTGGGGTGAGGGCCACTGGCCGATAGTCATTCAGACCAGTCACTGTAGAGCTTTTTGGGACTGGGATGATGGTGGCAGTCTTCAGGCAGGTGGGAACTGTCTCCAGGGTAAGTGAGGTGTTAAAGATGTCTGCCAGCACCTCACAGAGCTGATCAGCACATTCCTTCAACACTTTTCCGGGGATGTTGTCTGGGCCAGTTGCTTTGTGCGGATTAATCCTCCTGAAGGTACTCCTTACTTCTGCTGAGGTCACGCTGAGATGCTCTTCATCCGGTGGCGAGGTGAGTCTGGTGCTGGGTGGTCTGTTCGGGTCTTCAAAGCGTGCATAGAACTTGTTGAGGGCATCAGGCAGAGATGGGTCTTTGGGACATTGTTCGCTCCTTCCTTTATAATCTGTTATGCACTTAATGCCCCTCCGCATGCTCCGAGGGTCTTGTGAGATGAATTGACCCTCGATCCTCTTTGCATATGTGGCCTTGGCCCTCTTAATACCAGCAACCAGCTCTTTTCTTGTCCTACTCAGCTCCTCTGAGTTTCCAGACCTGAAGGCAGTGTTCCTGGCTTCCAGCAGGGTACGCACCTCTGCATTCAGCCAAGGTTTTCTGTTTGGGTAGCTTTTAACATTTCTGATAGTGGAGACTGTGTCAGTACATGTACTAATGTAACCCAGTACTGAGGATGTGTATTGGTCAAGATCAAGCGAACCTCCATTTTCAGCAGCTTCTCTGAAAACCTGCCAGTCTGTTCGATCAAAACAATGTCTCAGTATGGGTCCACTGTCCTGGCTCCAACATTTAACTTTCTTTTGTACCGGTCTGGAGCGTCTCAGCGGGGGCATGTAAGCAGGAGCCAGGAAGATTGAGATGTGGTCTGACAGTCCTAGGTGGGGGCGGGGTTCGGCTTTGTATGCATCTTTTACGTTCGTAATACATGCAAAACAATTTTTTTTCTGGAATTTGACAAAAATTACTAATTATTGTAAAATTTCAAACAATATTATCGTTTATCGCAATAATTTCTGAGACAATTAATCGCCCAGCAAAATTTGTTATCATGACAATCCTAGTCACAAACAGGAAATCATCAGACATTTTGGATTAAAAGGATTTGTTTGACCTGAGTACAGTTTAGAACAAACAATGGAGAAAAAAAAAAAAACAGCAATGGTGGAAGTAAAATGGTTTGGAGCTGCTTTGGTTCAGGCCTCAGCAGAATGCAGAGTTGACTTTGAAAGCAAACGTTGCACCTAGATTCGATTTTTCAGCAGAATTTGATCACGTTTTGTACTCATACATCCATTAAATGTCTTAAAAAGTGACTGAGGTTAGGGAGGAACAAGGTGAAAGAACAGTTTTAAATCAAACATTGCAGAAAAATCTTCAAATATCTATAGCACAATAAAGTTTGGAAGAAAGATCAAAGGTTTTCTCAGTTTTCAATTTTATTCTACACATTGTTTTACGACTGTAAAGTCCCAGTTTATATAAAAAGAGAGGGATGACGGTGTATTTCTCCAGAGCATAAATAACATGTTATGTAACTGGGTGAATGACGAGCTCAAAGACAAGGAATCATTTTGTCTTCTGTCCTTTTTCTAACAACATTAATGCAGTTTGAATGTTCACCATTGTCAGCATGTTAGATGGCTTTTCATCTCTATAAGATAAGAGGGAGATTACTTGGAACAGCGCTCTCTGGGTTGGTACACTGTGTTGCTGTCCTTTAATGTGGGCCATTTTGAACATGCTCCAGTGACTGGATTACATTTCAGCTGCCGGCTGTGTTTACTGCAGCTGGGAAAAGCGGTTTTACTCACCGTGCCTGCAACTTAAGGCAGCATGCAAGGCAATCTAAAAGCTTACTAATTAGTATCATCGAGGCAGTTTAAGCTTTTAGTTTCCTCCTACATTTTTCTGCAGCTCTCCCCTAAATGAGGCCTTTCTACCTCACAGTGTTAGTGCCACAAGCAGCACATAAGCATGAGCAAAAAAAGTTTGAAAAAGGATTAAACTTAGGTTCAAAACATCAAAGTTCATGCTCAATAATCCAGGTAGAAAATCCACCAAAGTTCAGTCATGTCATTTAGATGGTTTCTTTTTTATTTCTTCTTTTTTTTTTTTAGACGTTTCAGCCTTAATTCAAAGGACTTCATCAGCGAGCATGAACTTTGATGTTTGGAACCTCTTTAGCTGTGGCTGCCTCAGAGGAGTCGAAGGGGGAGAGGACAGAAACCATCTTACTTTTTTGGTTGCATTTTCTTTTAAATACCATTTTATTTTCTCATGTTAAAAATAAAATCTTAATTTGTACACATCCTTTATGATTGTCTATTGTTGTCTTTGTTGTCCACTGTTGTCATCACTCTTTGTTAAAATCAGGTCTCTTGTGAGTCCCCGAGGCTCAATGGGATTAACCTGTATAAATAAAGGTTGAATAGATCTTGTCACCAGCAAACTGGTTGGTCCACTATGTTGGTTTGCTGCTTGTGGGACTCAGTTTGTTGTGGCTCCTCGAACTGATGAAGTCCTTTGGATGAAGGACAAAATGTCTCAACAAAAATAATAATTAAAAAAAAAAAAACGTCCAGATGACCTGACTGAACTTTGCTGGATTAAATTTAGGATTTCTGTATGTCCCTTTTAGCTCACTCTCACACTGAGGTATTTTGGGTTTAACCTAGAAATAAGAGCATAACAAAGGACACGTTTTTGTGCTGATCAAGGAATTATATTTCTGTTTTTCTCTGTTTCTTGGTACCACAGGAAAGGCATTTGCTAAGCAGTTACTTTTAACGGGGACTTGAAAAACGGAGCTAACGTGCTGAGAACGTTTCATTTTGATATTTTTACCTCTTTGCAGGTTAACTGCTGTCATTGCATGTGGCTTTAAATGTCCACTGCCATGGCCAAACGTGAGGCCGGGAGTCCAAGTCCTGTGGTGCGTCAGATAGACAAGCAGTTCCTGGTTTGTAGCATCTGTCTGGATCACTATTGCAACCCCAAGGTCCTGCCCTGTCTGCATACCTTTTGTGAAAGGTAACTAACTTTTAATTTCTAACTCTAGCCTGATGTGTTCTCATATTTTGCAAGTTTAACACTTGCATCAAAACTGTTTTTAAAAAGTAGTTTATTGTAGTGTTTATATTAAAATGGAGAATAAAGTGGGGCTATGTTGTTAAAAAAAAAACTAGGATAATGTTTTTAAACTGGTTTACTTCTACATCTAGCTAGTGATAGTATTTGCTGAAAATGACTCTCAGCTACTACCAAATCTAATTTTTGTTCACTATCTGTAAAAATGACAGTTATTGCCATTTTTGTGGTCATAAATGTCAGTTAGCTGTGGCAGCCATCTTAAATTGGGCTGACTCCAAAGGTTAATTTCATGAACTTTAATTCAAATTAGTTTGGTGGTTTAGAACAGGGGTTTTCAAACGTTTTGGGTTCAGGGACCCCTTACAGTGGAGAAAAAGTTTCAGGGACCCCCTCATAACCCTCATGTTTATTAAATAATTTTCTTCAATTTGTCTCTTTAATGCAATGGAAATATGTGTGTAACATAAATACTTTGTACTTAAGACCTGTAATTTAATAGTGTTAATACAATTGTTATACTTTTAAACATGGGGTATTTTTCATTCGACACACTTAATTAACAACATTTTTAATTTCAACTTCCAAAAATTACAGTTTTGAGAAAATTAACCGTCTCAAAAACCACTTTAAAACTTTACATATTCACATAATGAATTGCTACTTCTTCAAATTATTACAGAAAACTCTTTGCTGAAAAGAATCATAACAGCAGTACCAACAGGGCTTCATTTGTAAACCAGTCGATGCTGGTATTCAAATAGTGGGGGTGGGGGGATGGGGGTCTTCCCCCAGAAAATTTAAAATAATTCTAATGCGACTTCCTGCATTTTGGTGTATTTTAACCGGTTGTTAAACATTTACGTGCTTGTAAAAAAAAAAAAGTAATAATAATATATATACAGTGAGGAAAATAAGTATTAGAACACCCTGCGACTTTGCAAGTTCTTCAACGTAGAAATCATGGAGGGGTCGGAAATTTTCATCTTAGGTGCATGTCCACTGTGAGAGACATAATCTAAAAATAATAATAATCCGGAAATCACAATGTATGATTTTTTAATAATTTATTTATGTGTCACTGCTGCAAATACATGTAAGTATTTGAACACCTGCCAATCAGCAACAGTTCTGTCCCTCAAAGACCTGTTAGTCCTCCTCTAAAAAGTCCACCTCCACTTCACTTATTATTCTAAATTAGAAGCACCTGTTTGAGGTCGGTAGCTGCATAAAGACACCTGTCCACCCCACACAATCTGTAAGACTCCAACTACTTACATGGCTAAGACCAAAGAGCTGTCCAAAGACACAAGAGACAGAATTGTAGACCTCCACAAGGCTGGAAAGGGCTACAGGGCAATTGCCAAGCAGCTTGGTGAAAAAAGATCAACTGTTGGAGCAATTATTAGAAAATGGAAGAAGCTAAACATGACTGTCGATCTCCCTCGGACTGGGGCTCCATGCAAGATCTCACCTCGTGGCGTATCAATGATCCTAAGAAAGATGAGGAATCAGCCCAGAACTACACGGGAGGAGCTGGTCAATGACCTGAAGAGAGCTGGCACCACTGTTTCCAAGGTTACTGTGGGTAATAAACTAAGACGTCATAGTTTAAAATCATGCATGGCACGGAAGGTTCCCCTGGTTAAATCAGCACACGTCCAAGCCCGTCTGAAGTTTGACCATGACCTTTTGAATGATGCAGAGGAGTCATGGGAGAAAGTTATGTGGTCAGATGAGACGAACAACCTCCTTCCCTCAGTTACAGCATTGAAGACGGGCCATGACAATGACCTGAAGCACACAGCCAGGATAACCAAGGAGTGGCTCCATAAGAAGCACATCAAGGTTCTGGAGTGGCCTAGCCAGTCTCCAGACCTAAACCCTATAGAAAATCTTTGGAGGGAGCTCAAACCGTGTTTCTCAGCGACAGCCCAGAAACCTGGCTGATCTAGAGAAGATCTGCTGCAGTGTGTGCACACCTGCTGAAAAACTACAGGAAACGTTTGACCTCTGTCATTGCAAACAAAGATACTGTACCAAATATTAACATTGATTTTCACAGGTGTTCAAATACTTATTTGCAGCAGTAACGCACAAAAAAATATTAAAAAAAATCATACATTGTGATTTCCGGATTTTTTGTTTTAGATTATATCTCTCACAGTGGACATGCACCTAAGATGAAAATTTCAAACCCCTCCATGATTTCTAAGTGGGAGTACTTGCAAAGTTGCAGGGTGTTAAAATACTTATTTTCCTCACTGTATATAGAACTCATTTATTTATTTTACCCCAAGCACTGACTTGCGGACCCCTGGGAGCCCAGTTTAAGAACCACTGGTTAAGAAGATAAATTGTTAACAGAGAAGTAAAAACACCACACACAGACATGGAATAAACATAATCATCCGCCTTCGTCTTTCGACGGCAGGTGATAACAAGAGTCAGAACATGAGGTTGGCAGAGGATCAAAATGAAAAGCTGGCTGTTGTTTTTGAGGACAGGTGGGCCAGGTTAAAACATGCCTGCATTCTGTTCCACTTCTTTCTCCACTGAGTACCTTTAATTTGAGAGGGAATTATTCACAATGATTCCTCTGCTCAGTTTGACACTGTTGCTATTCAACGGTCCATTTTCTTTCTTCAGTTGTCTCCAGAACTATATTCCTCCAGAGTCTCTGACTCTCTCGTGTCCAGTGTGCCGACAGACTTCCATCCTGCCAGAGAGAGGAGTGTGCGCTCTGCAGAACAACTTCTTCATCACTAATCTCATGGAGGTTAGCTATGCGCTATGCTTTTAATAGAAACAATGCTTTTGTCATATTCAATGTATGCATACTCCTATAATTAAAAAAAAAAAAGATTAAAGACCAGTGGAGTAAGCAATAAAGCAAAGTAAAATCTATGTAAATGTGTACATGCTAGTGATCTTTTTATGCTGCTTTTTAAAGAAAACTACTTTTTTTTGGAGGGGAGGGGACATTCTTGTAGGTTTGAGGATTGCGGTCATGCTGGACCATTTACTTGGACTTTTTGGACTTTTCAGTTGAGTACACAGTGGGAACAATCGATGATAACCTGGGGACAAAGAGAATGATTTGGAGCAAAAAAGCTCAATGAATAGGTAAATAACAACTTGACTGAAAAGTCTTAATAGAAACAAATGTAGAACCATCTTATCACCAGCAAACTGGTTGGTCCACTGTAGGAGTGTACTGCTTAGTGGGGAAAAAAGTTTGTTTGTGGCGCCTCAGACTGATGAAGCCCTTTGGATGGAGGGTGAAATGTCTGTCAACAAAAACAAAAAGAAACTGTCCAGATGACCTGACTGAACATTGTTGATTTATTTTTACCTGGATTACTGAGCATGAACTTTGATGTAAGAAAAAAAAAAGTTTTTACAAACATGCTCATACAAAATGACCATAGTGAAAATTGTCTTGTTTTGTTCTAGGTCCTCCAGCGTGAGCCCGAGTGCTCACAGCCCCAGGCCTGCAGTGTGCTGGAGTCAGTCAGTGCTGCTGCAGCAGGGAAGCCCCTCTGCTGCCCCAACCACGAGGGAAAGGTAAGAAGCCTTTTTTGTATTTACTATACCGGTACGTATCACCAAAATGGTAGAAATAGTGTAAAGTATTTTTTGATGTGTGGAGATCAACAGCAGAATGTGATTCAGGTCATCTTCCTCTGCAGGTGATGGAGTTCTACTGTGAGTCTTGTGAGACGGCCATGTGTTTGGACTGCACAGAAGGTGAGCACCGGGAGCATGTGACAGTTCCGCTGCGGGACGTCGTGGAGCAGCACAAAGCTGCGCTGAAGACACAGCTGGATGCCATTCACAGCAGGTGGGCACTTTGTATCTTGATGGGCCTCACAAAAACTTCTCCCACAGCTTGATTTTGATGTTTTTACATTACAGGTGATAAACTATAAAAACTTACCAATGATTTAAATGTCAAATCAAGTCTGACAGCCAGCGTTCTAGGATGGATCTATTTTTATTTCACCTAAATGTGCCTGCTGTTCTACAGCTTTTAGACGAGAACCTTACACTGGTTTGTCTTGCAGGCTGCCTCAGCTAACAGTAGCCATCGAGCTGGTGAGCGAGATCTCTCGGCAGCTGAATGATAGAAAGAACGAGGCAGTGGCAGAGATCACCAGCACGTTTGAAGAGTTGGAGAGGGTGCTGCATCAGCGCAAGGCAGCCCTTGTCACGGACCTGGAGAACATTTGTAGCACCAAGCAGAAGGTTAGATATCCTTTTACATAATCTGGATCCTGTGGAAGACAACCTGTGGTTCTCATGCATAAATGCTTTCACTAATATTTTACACAGTTTGTTTCTAATGCACCAGTTTTTTTTATTTTTTTTTGTCCTGTTCTTTCACTCATCTGAGCACAGGTCCTGCAGGCCCAGCTTTCATCTCTGCTCCAGGGGAGGGAACACATTCAGAACAGCTGCAGCTTCACAGAGCAGGCTCTGAGCCACGGGACTGCAACTGAGGTGGGCGGCTATGTAATCACTTGGAGGCTATTAGCAGGGTAATAAACCAGGCTCAGCCTTTACAGGAATCAGTGATGTTGTGTATTATTTTCAACAACTTAATATATTTTAAAGTTACATTAAAGCATCATGTGTGTGATCTGCAAGTGCAGGTGCTTCTGGTTCAGAAGCAGATGAGTGAGCGTGTAACTGCTCTGGCCAGACACGACTTCCCTGAAAAACCGCATCAGAATGCTCACCTGGACTGTCAGGTATGACACTGGCTTCAATGTGATGATATTCCACTATTCTCACCAAATAAATGTGGTGTTGTAATCATAAGCAGAGTATCTGCAGAAAAGTTTTTATTTTATCATCCCCCACCACCAAAGGTGAATGTGGAGCAATGAATAGCATTTTGGCCCATGTCTATGCATATGTTCATTTGTCCATACAAATATTAAAATATCATATTGATCTCTAAATGGATTTTAACAAACTCTCTGAAAGGAATCAATGGGTTGCACTTTAAAGCATCACGTGCCTCTAGCAAGAGTTTCAACCACTGATGAACTTTTTGAGTTAATCTATTCAATTCAGTTCAATTCAGTTTATTTATATAGCACCATGTCACAACAGAAGTCGTCTAAGGGCACTGAACAAAAACATTCACGTACATTATAAGAGCCAATTAATAAAAGTTCTCTATCTAAGGAAGCCAGTAGATTGTGTTGAATCTTCACCTTGTTGCAGTCTCCCATTTTGAGCAAGCACAAAGGCAACAGTGGAAAGGAAAAACTCCCTTTTAACAAGAAGAAACCTCTAGCAGAACCAGGCTCAGGACGAGAAGCTATCTGCTTCGACTGGCTGGGTTTTAGAGAAACAGGAAGAAGGAACAGACAAACACAGAATGACAGGTCCAGATGTACTTTCTGTTAGAAGAAAGATAAAAAACACGTTAATATAGAAATAATTACAAATGCAAACAGGTAGAGTAGAACAAGTAAAAACAGCAGCAGAGTGAGGAAATGTGGTCAATTTGTCCTCCAGCAGTATAAGCCTATAGCAGCAACTAAGGGATAGCTCAAGAAACCCAAGCCAACCCTAATTATAGGATTTATTTTTCAAAAACTCAACTCAACTTTATTTTGGTAAATTACCATTACAGAAAAAGGAAAACAATATAGACTACTTTTGACAAATCAATAATTTACCAAAAAAGGAATAGGCTGAAGCCGAGGCTTATACTTGCCTACCCTGTTCATAGACTCAGCAGTCTTCAATAATAATATATATCTACTGTCCATATATATACATACATTACATATACACATATCTATATAAAAATATGTCTGTGTATATGTATAAGCATACTTACATTACATACATACATTGTTAAACACTACATATATACATCTACATAACAGTATAAGCTTTTATAATTTTACCTTTTATGGACCTTTTAAAGCTCAACAAAAAAGCACATAATTTGAGTTCATCATTCAATTCATTCCACAATTTCACACCGACAACTGAAATGCATCTAGATTTTACTTTACTTTTCTCTTTAGCTTGTTCAAATATTAATAAACCTCGTAAATTATAATTACTCTCCCTTAACTTAAATAATTTCTGAATTCCAGAAGGAAGACTTTTATTCACTGCTTTATACATTATTTCCAGTATTTTTATATTTACAATGTCATTAACTTTTAAGGTGTTACTTTGAATAAAAAGTTTATTAGTTGGTTCACAATATCCCACTTTATTAATAAGCCTAATTGCTTTTTTTTGTAACTTTACTAATATGTCAATAGTTGTTTTATTAGCATTTCCCCATATTTCTGCACAGTATGACAAATAGGGCATAACCAAGGAAGAGTATATAATATGCAAGCCTTTTACATTTATTAAATCTTTTATTTTAAACAATATTCCAACAGTTTTTGAAACTTTATTTCTAATATATTCAATATGAGGCTTCCAACTAAGTTTGTTATCCAGAATGATACCTAAAAACTTTGTCTCATAAACTCTGTCGATTTCAACTCCATTTAGATGTAACTTTACATTATTGTAAATCCGATTACCAGAAAATACCATAAATTTTGTTTTTTGTCCATTTAATGATAACTTATTGTAATCAAACCACTTTTTTAACTCAGTTAGCTCTTTTTCTACTATTTGTATTAGTTCATCCATATTCTTTCCAGAAAGAAAAAAATTTGTATCATCAGCAAACATTATAAATTTCAAAATATTGGATACTGTAAAAATATCGTTCACATAAAGTATAAATAATTTAGGTCCTAGAACCGAGCCTTGAGGAAGACCACATTTTATAGTTTCAGTTTGTGACTTTGTATTGTTAATTTGTACATATTGTAATCTATTACTCAAGTAACTCTTTAACCACTGATGTGTAACCCCCCGTAAGCCATATTGTTCACATTTCCACAGTAGTCGTTCATGGTCAATAGTGTCAAACGCCTTACTTAAATCAATGAACACTCCCACTGTATTAAGTTTCCGATCAACTGCTGCAGCAACGTGTTCCACAAACTCCATCACAGCTAAAGTTGTGGAGTAGTTGTTTCTGAAGCCGTACTGGTGTTCATTTAATATATTGTTTTTATTAAGAAAGGAGTCCAGCCTTTTTATGAATATTTTTTCCAGGATTTTAGAAAACTGTGGTAGCAATGAAATAGGTCTATAATTTGTTACATTTTGCTTATTACCATTTTTGTGGACTGGAAACACCTTGGCTACTTTCATTTTATCAGGAAATTCTCCAGTTAAGAATGATCTATTACAGATATAGGTGATAGGTTTAATAATACTATAAATAACTTCTTTCACAATAGCCATATCAATATAATTACAGTCTTTGGATTTCTTATTTTTTAATTTTTTAACTATTTCGATTACCTCACTTTCACTCACTCCTCCAAGAAACATTGTATTAATATTATTAAATGTATAATTGAGTTTTTCATCTCTAGCCTTTGGCAACTCATTTACTAAATTAGGACCAATATTAACAAAGAACTGATTGAAGACTTCAACAATATCCTCTTTATTTTCCATTGTGCTGTTATTATGTTTAATACACATTGCCAAATCTCTGTCTTTATGATTTTTAATGACACTATTAATTATCTTCCAAGTACCCTTAATATCATTGCTGTATTTTTGCAATAGCGTATCATAATAATATAGTTTTTGCTTTCTCAGCACTGATGTTAATTTGTTTTTATATTTTTTATATTTTTCTTCTTTTTCCTGGGTTGGGCACCTAATAAAATCCTTATATAACTTGTTTTTCTTTTTACACGACTTTTCCAGACTCTTTGTCATCCAGGGAGTCAATCGGTTTTTTGATGTTTGTTTGTATTCTTTAAAGGGACAATGATGATTATAACTTCTTTCAAATATTTCCAAAAATGTATTATATGACTCATTGACGTCATCAACAAAAACATTTTGCCAATTATAATTTAGTAACTCTGCTTTCATTTCTTCCACAGCTTCAGGTGATTTAACTCTAACTAGATTAGGAGCTGGCTTTGTCATATTTAAATTAAACTGATGACTAGTATCCAACACAGTAAACACTGGCAAATGATCAGTAATATCAGTTATCAACAGTCCACTTTTTGTTTTCACATTGAACTTATTTATAAAAATATTGTCAATCAGTGAAGCACTGTCTTTGGTTATTCGAGTAGGTCTTAATATTAAGGGATAGAAACCTAAACCAAACATTGTGTCGACAAATTCAGTTGTTTTGTTATGTTCATTATATTTCAACAAATCAATATTAAAATCCCCACAAATAAAAGTAAATTTTTCATTATACCTCTCATACATCTCTAATGTTTTCTTACTAAACTCATCTATGCATGAGCTAGGAGTTCGATAAACACAACTAATTAACATATGCTCAGATCTATTACCCTCAATTTTAACAGATAAACATTCCATCAAGTTATCAACTGAAAATGTCATTTTATCAATAACCTTACATTTCAGTCCTGACTGAATAAACAGTGCAACACCTCCTCCTCTTTTGTTAAACCTGTTTTGAACAAACATTTGATATCCATCCAGACCATCCAACAGTTCATTTCCTTCAGTGATCCAGGTTTCTGAGATTGCTACTACACTAAATTTCTCATCAAATCAAAAAGGAAATACTTAAGCCTAGTCTTAAAAGTAGACAATGTGTCATGGACAGAAACTGGAAGTTGGTTCCACAAGAGAGGAGCCTGATAACTGAAAGATCTTCCTCCTATTGTACTTTTGGAAACTCTAGGAAGAACAAGTAAACCTGTAGTCTGAGAGCGAAGTGCTCTGTTTAGGAAATATGGAACAACAAGATCTATAACATAAGATGGACCTATGTTGTTGAGAGCTTTGTAGATTAGAAGTAAGATTTTGAACTCAATTCTGAATTTGATAGGGAGCCAATGGAACAAAGCTAAAACTGGAGAAATATGATCTCTCCTACCAGCTCATAAAAAAATCTGACAGCAGCGTTTTGGATCAACTGAAAACTTTTAAAAGAATTTTTGGATGCCCAAATAATAAACAAATGCAACAGTCCAGTCTAGACGTGATAAACGCTTGGACCAGTTTTTCGGCTTCACTTTTTGACAAGATGTTTCCAATTTTAGTGATATTATACAGGTGGAAGCATCTGATTCAAAATGGCTATCAACATCACAATCAACCTTGGCCTACAAAAAATAGCTCCATCTCACTGAATTTTATAGATATTAACCTAAAGTTTGGCATAGCTGAAGCTGATAGTCATCAAGTGTTAATAGGTCATGTTATATGTTATGTTGTTATGGTGTTTATTTGTCATATGCAGGTTAACACAAGGTCAAGAGTGCAATGAAATGTTCAGGATGAGAAGAACCAATTTGATTCGCTAAAAACAAAACAAATACAAAACAAGAAATACTAAAGCATGCAATAAGGGTACAAAATAAAGGACCAAAAAGTGGAAAAGAAATATAATATTTACAAGGTCCAAAAGAAATATAGTAAACAACAACATGGTAGACTAGAACGGTGCAAGTAGGATGAATTTGTATGAATAAGTATTTCACAGGTAGTAATATAAGGTTAAATGTACATGATATATATTGCACATAAATAACATATGCTACACAGGTTGTGTGACAAGTTATTGCACAGGTAGTGAGTAACACTGAGACTAATTGAATTATAATGGTAAGGTAGTGACATACAAGATATATGGCATATGTGACATACATGATATATGGCATATATGGCCTGAGATATGACATACATGGTATACAGGTATTAGGTCTTTGATATTATTTACTTTTGTTTACCATCATAATACGTTTTGCTGGTTGTGATTATGTGCTTAATAAAACTAACTTTGATGTAGCATTTGTTAGTTAAACATATCGAGAATCAGATCATTTTGTGCGTGCGTGCATGTGTTTCAGACTTAGTAAAAATCTGAATTCAAAAATTAACATTTTATTCTGTTTTGTTCTCTGGCATTAAAATAAGGAAAAACCCATTGTCCTCATCTGCACCAATAATTACATAAAACAATCTTGAGTAAAATATTGCATCCAACAATAATGTAAAGTTGTACCTGTCTGCTCCAGGTAGAGACTGAAGGTCTGCGGCGCTCGATCCAGAACCTTGGTGTCCTCCTCACCACATCAGCTGTGGCACATACGTCTGTGGCAACAGGAGAAGGCCTGCGACATGCAGCAACTGGCCAGCACCACACTATTACTGTGACAACAAAAGACAAAGTATGATCTTTAAGCAAATCACTTCCATTTTACATCTTCATTTAGCTTTTCATGAAATTCTTGTTTTTGTCAATTTAGTGGTAATTCCATAAAATTACTGATCAATTTTTGCAGGATGGAGAGTTGGTAAGGATGGGAAATGCCATTTTAAAAGCAGAGATAATGTCTGCTGATGGCAGCCGGGCTGCAGAGATGGAAATAGTAGACAACAAGAATGGGACATACGAGGTGGGCTACACCATACGTTCTGAGGGAGAGTACTTGTTCAGCCTGTTGCTGTATGGACAGCCAATACGTGGCAGCCCGTTCCGCTTGCGAGCCATCAAGCCATCAGATGTGCCGCAATCTCCAGATGACATGAAAAGAAGGGTCAAGTCCCCCAGTGGGTCAGGGAGCCACATCCGTCAAAAAGCGGTACGACGGCCCTCCAGCATGTACAGCACCACCAAGAAGAAGGAGAACCCCATAGAGGATGAGCTCATCTACAGAATTGGTAAGACAGATGAACGCATGGAATAAACCATGAAATGTCTTTCATAAACATGTTTGATCTGGTTAAATATGAATCAAGATTTACATTGCATCACCGCAGATCTGTTTCTTAACTATGAAACAATTGTTTTAACTGGCACACTCCAAACCAGGACGACTTTAGTTCATGTCAGGACACACTGGAAAGTAAACTTACCAAAACCTAACAGAGGATGAGAACTTTGAAAACAAACACATCATTAAAACCTACTGTTCTGTCAAAAGATCTAACCCCAAAACACCAAAATTTAATTTAGAACTGTTCATTGCCATAAAATTTAGAAATTAGATTACACAAAACTGCATAAGAGGTGGTAACATTGTAACTTTAATGCATTGCCTGTCCCCAGAAAGAGTTTAGTTAAGTTTAAATATAACTAAATTAAACCCAGGGGCAGTGCCACTGGATTGGTAGACTGGGGTGGTGGTTCCCCTCTTGAAAAAGGAGGACCGGAGGGTGTGCTCCAATTATAGGGGCATTGCTCTCCTTAGCCTCCCTGGTAAGGTCTTTTCAGGGGTACTGGAGAAGCGAGTTCGATCGATGGTCGAACCTCAGATCCAGGAGGAACAATGTGGGTTATGTCTTGGCTGTGGAACACTGGATCAGCTCTTTACCCTCACTAAGGTCCTCAAGGGGTCATGGGAGTTTACCCATCCAGTCTACATGTGTTTTGTGGACTTGGAGAAGGCATTCAACCATGTTCCTCGGGGTATGCGTGACTATGGGATTGGGGGCACATTGTTACGGGCTGTTCAGTCCCTATACAAGGGGTGCACGAGTTTGGTTCGCATTGCCCGGTAGTAAGTCGGACACTTTCAGGGTGGGAGTTGGACTCTGCCAGGGCTTCCCGTTTCACCGATTCTGTTCATAACTTTTATGGACAGAATTTCTCGGCACAGCCAGTGGACAGAGGGTTTCCAGTTCAGTGGCCTCAGGATTCCCTCTCTGCTTTTTGCAGATGATGTGGTCCTGTTAGCATCATCGTGCCGTGATCTTCAGCTCTCACTGGAGCGGTTCGCGGCCGAGTGTAAAGCAGGCTGAGATGAGAATCAGCACCTCCATATCTGAGGCCATGGTTCTCAACCAGAAAAGGGTGGATTGCTCTCTTCAGGTCGAGGGTGAGGTTCTGCCTCAAGTGAAGGAGTTCAAGTATCTCGGGGTTTTGTTCACGAGTGAGGGAAGAATGGACTGTGAGATTGACAACATAGATTGGTGCAGCATCTGCAGTATTGTGGACGCTGTACCGGTCCATTGTGGTGAAGAGAGAGCTGAGCTGTAAGGCAAAGTTCTCTGTTTACTGGTCGGTCACGTTCCTACCCTCACCTATGGTCACAAGCTCTGGGTAGTGACCGAAAGAATGAGATCATGGATACATGCGGTTGAAATGAGTTTTCTCCGCAGGGTAGCTGGACTCTCCCTTAGAGATAGGGTGAGGAGTTCAGATATCCAGGAGAGACTCAGAGTAGAACTGCTACTCCTCTACGTCGAGAGGAGCCAGTTGAGGTGGTTCAGGCATCTGATAAGGATGTCCCCTGGGCGCCTCCCTAGGGAGGTGCTTCGGGAATGTCTGACTGGGAGGAGACCCTGGGGAAGACCCAGGACACGCTGGAGAGACTATGTCTCTCGGTTGGCCTGACAACGCCTTGGAATCCTCCCAGAAGAGCTGGAAGTTGTGGCTGTGGAAAGGGATGTCTGGGCCTCCCTGCTCATTCATTCATTCAACCTTTATTTAGACAGGTAAGTCCCATTGAGCCTCGAGGACTCATTTACAAGAGAGACCTGATTTCAACAAAGAATGATGACAACAATGGACAACAGCAACAACAATAGACAGTTATAAGCAGCTCAAGCTGCTGCCCCTACGACCCAACTTCGGAATAAGCGGAAGATAATGGATGGATGGATGGATGGATGGATGGATGGATAAATTAAACCATCCATTTTCCTCACAGTTGTAGGAAAAAAATCCAGAAACTGATTTTATTCCATCTAAAACAACTGGAGCACATAATTTGACCAAAAAACACCCAACAATGTTCAGTCAGGTCATCTGGACAGTTAATTTTTTTGTTGAGACATTTTGCTTCCAACCGAAAGACTTCATCAATCTGAGAAGTCACAAACAAAATGTTCTCCCCACTGAGCAGTACACTCCTACAGCGAACCAACAGTTTGCTATTAATACAATGGTTTCTGGGGGCTGTCCTTTCCCCTGTCAATCTGCCACATCCAAAGTGATTCAAGACATCAGGTTCATACTCAATCATCCAGGTAAAAAAATCCAACAATGTTCAGTCAGTTCATCTGAACAGTTTCTTATTTTTGTTGAGAGATGTCTCGCCCTCCATCCAAAGGACTTTGTCAGTCTGAGAAGTCACAAACAAACACCCCAAAAACACGTATCGGGGATGAATAATTAGGCACGGTAAGACTTTTCCACATTTACTGAGTGCATAATTGTTTTCTTTTAGGTTCCCGGGGCAGAGAAAAAGGTGAGTTCACCAATCTGCAAGGAATATCGGCCTCCAGCAATGGCAGGGTAGTGGTGGCTGACAGCAACAACCAGTGCATCCAGGTGAGACTGCCACACGGTGGAAAACACACCCAACTGCAGCCATGTTTGCATCTCTAGACATGCAGATTACTGTTGTATAATCAAAACAGGTATTCTCCAACGACGGTCAGTTTAAAATGCGCTTTGGGGTCAGAGGTCGTTCTCCAGGACAGCTGCAGAGACCAACGGGTGTCACCGTGGACATGAATGGTGACATTGTAGTAGCTGATTATGACAATAGATGGGTCAGCATCTTTTCCTCTGATGGCAAGTTTAAGGTAAGCTCTCACACATCTTAACTTTGCAACACTGTTTGCCTTATTTTATAGCAACAATTGGTGCTTTGATCTTACCTAGAGCATCCTGCTTTTGTAGATTAAACATGAATGAAGGAAAAACTGTATGAGACACACAGTATGTTCATGTATAAACCAAAACATTCTTCAGCTGAACAGCTCCAAAACTGAGGTCATGTTGATTGGCACTCCCCATCATCTCCAGTCATTTTCCATAACAGCTATAACCTTTTCTGGTCAGGACATACATTCTCCTCTGTGGGCACTAGCCAGTTCAGTTTGATCCCGATCTTTCCTTTGACTCCCATGTGTGAAACCTTGTTTTGTTTTTTTTTCATCTAACAAACATTGCAAGTCTTAGCTTATCACCATCTTGGCTGGATGCTGAAAAAATTGTCCATGCTTTTGTGACTTCAAGGCTCTTTTTGGCATCTCAAATAAAACCCTTCAAAAGTTCATCCAGGGCAGCACAGTGGCGCAACTGGTAGAGCTGCTGCCTCTCAGCAAGATTGTTGCTGGTTCATATCCCGGTCCAGAGGCCTTCCTGGGGGGAGTTTGCTTGTTCTCTCCGTGCATGCATGGGTTTTCTCCGGATACTCCAGTTTCCTCCCACAGACCAAAAACGTACGTTAGGCTGATTGGTAACTCTAAATTGTCCCTAGGTGTGAGTGAGGGAGTGAATGGTTGTTTGTCTCGTTTGTCTCTATGTGTCCCTGTGATGGACTTGCGACCTGTCCAGGGTGTACACCGCCCCTCGCACAGTGATTGCTGGGCACCGGTGACCCAAAATGGAAGAAGCGGGTAAAAGATAATGGATGATGGATAGAAGTTCATCCAGAACAGCGCTGCTAGACTGTTGACTACAAAACATGAGCACACCACATCAGTCCTGCATTCTCTTCACTGGCTTTATGTCTGTTCCAGAATACAATGAAATATTTCTCTTCTGATTTTAGTGATTTTTATTCTTACTTTTAATTTATTTTGTTTGTATGAAATGTAGAACCAAGAGATTTATGGATGTAAAGTGCTCTGCAGTGCATAATTATTGTTATAGTTCTAAGTACACCTTCAGAATCAGTGTCTCAAATAATTTATTCTGTTTCAGAATAAGATCGGAGCGGGCCGCCTCATGGGACCTAAGGGTGTGGCAGTGGATAAGAACGGACACATTATCACAGTTGATAACAAAGCCTGCTGCGTCTTCATCTTTCAGTCCAATGGAAAGCTTGTGACAAAGTTTGGAGGCAGAGGGACATCCGACAGACAGTTTGCAGGTGAGAAACAGGTCTAAACATTTAACAACCAGAAACGTTCAATCCGTAAGAGGCAGGATTGTGAACATCGTTTTAGCCTCATCTTGGATCTATACAGCATTATAAAATGTGTGTATCGTGCTTCTACATTTGAACCCCATTTATTTAATGCTTTTTAATTTTCAATCATACATAATGAAATTAGCATTTGTTTAAGGAATTCCTATCTCTGGCCATCTTGAATGCCAATAAGGTTTTAAACAAAAAAATATTAGTTATAGATATGCATCCGTGTTGACTCCAGCAGTTAATGCAAAAGTTTTAAACAAACATCTTATACAATTTGTAAACACTTAAAATATGTGTTGGGGACTGGCCTCGGCTACTACACCTTTAAGTTTGAAATCTCTAAACTTGACCAAGTTGTAGACATTTCTGTTTTTGTTAGGTTTGAGTAGCCGGGGTGGCCATCTTGAATCAGGTTCCCGATTGCCTACCTTTCATGATGACAAACAAAGTGGGAACAATGAAGAAGTTCATTGTCTTGTCCACAGACACTAACCTACATGATTAGTCTAAGAATTAAATCCAAGATATTTTGATGTAAAAACAACCACTTTAGGCATATTAAAGCACAATAAAAAAAATAAAAATAAAAAAAACGATGACAACACTGTGTTATTCCAATAAAAATTGTCTGATGTTAAAAGTGTTCTGCAACATGTTAAGCAGTTTTTCCTTTGTTTCGGACAAATTTACAAAATAGTGTTTATTATAACACCCCTGTTTAATTTAGACAAAGTCATTGGTGCTACAGGGAATACATAATAATATTAATAATAATAATTTTGGGGAGTGGTGGCACAGAGGTTAGAGCAGGTGGGCCTGTGACCGGAAGGTCACTGGGTCAACCCCTCGCACTGACAACATCAAAATGTAGGTGTGGAAGGTGAAACACCCCACAGACCTGTGGCGACCGCTGAAGAAGGGAGCAGCCAAAACATAAAAACCCCCAATAATAATAATTTTTAGTGTATGGTGGTTTATCTGGGTTTTATTTGCCCTATATTGACACTCAGCAATGATGGGTAACAGCTAATAGTGGAACAACATTTTTGCTTAGCGAATTAGCATTTTCATTAACTTTGGAAACCGTTGGTGGAATTAACTTCCAGTAAATTAGATTTCACCAACTTTTAGTCCGATGACAAAATTCACAAGTTTGTTCTGTCTGTTGTGGGCGTGTCTTGAAGAGTCCATTAGGCACGCTATTGGTTTACTACATGTACATGTGACGTGATTGGTTGATGCAGCTTCAACTGGAAGAAGACGAAAGCATGTTATGCAGTCTGAGTGACAATCTAAGCGGTTAGCGGTTTAGTGTTAGCTTCTGCTGTTTTTTTTTGTTTTTTTTTTACCAGTTTAGTTAATGGAATATGGCTAAGCTAACTTTTTGATTAGCTGTGCCCACCACTGAGACCCAGTATGGACCAGGGACTATTTTATATCCTGCGATTACAAGAGGTTGTGTTTGTTTTACACGACTGTTGATTAGTGGATTATTCTGCATTTTACTTTAAACTGAATAATCCAAAGTGATGTTACTGGTTACTTACTGTAGAATGCTATGGCTTGTTCCCATGCACCCATCCTGACAACACTTGAGTGTTTTTTCTTCACTTTCTTACACTTATCTTCAATGACCTATTTGTTTCATTCTGTTCTTCCTTCTGTTTTCTGATTCAGAAAAACTTGGCCCAAACTTTAATAAATCTGGCTCAGTTTTCTGTAAGTACTAAGTGTGGCCTTGCTGCAACCTTAATCCCACAGTGCCCTCTGTCTAACCCAAATTCTTGATCACATGTCTAACTTCCGAGGAAGTCGACTGTAGACAAATGAATGGATCAAGCTGTGCTCATGCAATGATGAATAAGTTTACAATGTAATAAAACGGATAAAATAGGGAAAGAAAGTGTCTTGTGTTTTGTAGTGTTTCCGTTTAATAAGAAGTGTTTTCCTCTGTTGTTGTCTTAAAGTTAGTGTTTAAAGCCTGAGTTCAATGATGGCTATCTCAAGCCAATCAACTTCCCAAAAATATCATCAATAAAAGGTGTTTGTGATTTTGTATAATTAGACAAAGCATGAGTTAATAGAGGCAGCATGGTTGGTAGAGCTGCTGTCTCTCAGTGAAAGGTTGCTGGATCGAATCCCAGCTGGGGACTTTTCTGGGTGGAATTTGCATGTTCCCTTTGTGCATGCATAGGGTTTTTCCAGGTACTCCAGTTTCCTCCCACAGACCAGAAACCTGCACGTTAGACTGATTGGTAACTCTAAATTGTCCCTAGGTGAGTGAGAGAGTGAATGGTTGTTTGTCTCGTTTGTCTCTATGTGTCTCTGTGATGGACTTACGACTTGTGCAAGGTGTCCCCCGCCTCTCGCACAGTGACTGCTGGATATAGACACAAGTGACCTCCGTGACCCAAAAAGGAAAAAGCAGATAAAGATAATGGATGCATGGATTGATGGATGGATGAATTAATATGAGTAAGAACAGGAAGCATTTGGAATTTCAAGATGTTCAGCTTCTCCGTAACTTAGTTCTTATGTATGGAAAATGTCAAGAAACTGCTTCACTCGAACCAGAACAACAAACGGATCGAGCATTTTTAACCAAACTAACAGCAACATGATTGAGCCACTCTTATTTCCCCGCAATAACTCGTTTGTTTCTCGTCCATTAGGTCCACACTTTGTTGCCGTGAACAACAAAAATGAAATTGTAGTGACGGATTTTCACAATCACTCCGTAAAGGTAAAAGAAAGAAAAAAGAAGAAGAATCTGTTACTGCTATTCTTAGAAAAGTGATGATTCACGGAGACATAATCCGCTGACATTCTGTCACAGGTGTACAGTGCAGATGGGGAGTTCTTGTTCAAGTTTGGCTCTCATGGCGAAGGCAACGGCCAGTTCAATGCTCCCACTGGTGTGGCTGTGGATGCCAATGGTAACATCATTGTGGCTGACTGGGGTAACAGCAGAATACAGGTACCTTCAGGTAACACTCAAACAATTACACGTGTGTTTATGTGAACACTGTAAAATAGAAACTATTTTGATCCTGCATCAGGTGTTTGACAGCACTGGGTCCTTCCTGTCCTACATCAACACCTCGGCAGATCCGCTCTATGGCCCTCAGGGTCTTGCTCTCACCTCAGATGGACACGTGGCTGTTGCAGACTCCGGCAATCACTGCTTCAAAGTTTACAGATATTTGCAGTAGACCAAGGGATGACATCACCAACTCCTGCTTCAGGTTAATGTTCTGTACTGCTTGTAAACTAAAAGCTGCAACGTGCCTGCGCACTTTAAAGAGACAGCATTTCAATTTTTTTTTTTGTTTTCAGTCCTTTACTGGTTCTACTATCAGAAGTTTAAGATAAACAATGACATGTATATTATTGTAAATTACTGTAATAACCATGAAAATAGGCTAGAAATGTTCAAAGTTATACATATTTTGCACTGAACACAAGCTCAACAAATGATTAGTGTTAAATCTATAATAATAAATACGATGCTAATTATTTCTTTGTATAAAAGTGTCCTGCTATTTTATATTTTAACAATCTCTTGGTGTGTGCACCTTTAACCTCTCCTTCTTTCTGAAAACTGCTGTTTACCAAATCATCTGAAAAGAAGATTAAATGGAAGTTCACATCTGTCTCAAAACATTTTGGTTTTATTTTCTAAAATGCTATTCAAAAAATAACTTGACAGTCTTTAAGCACAAGATCAGACTAGTTTCGGTGTGGGGTTCTGTTGAAAAGTAAAAAAAAACAACTAAAAAAAACATCTTACTTGTTGTAGAAAGCTCTTTTAAAGACCTCATCTTGTAAAAAGAGGTTAGTTCTGAGGGAATGTTGAGCTAACAGCCAGTCCGAGCTGTGCCAAGACAAAAGTGGATTGCTGCCATCTAAAAAACAATTCCAGATCAAACATTTCATAACAGATCATCTGAACAATGTTTAATAAAGCTTACGACTGTCAATTTTGCATTACACTTATTTACCGTATTTTTCAGACTATAAGGCACATTTAAAATTCTTTAATTTTCTCATTAATCAACAGTGAGCTTTATAATCCGGTGCACCTTATGTATTAATTCTGGTTGTACTTACTGACCTGGAACAGATTTTTTGTGGTACATGGCGCTCAAAAATCTGTCAAAATGTTTTAGTTTCCCTTAATGTGCCTTATAATCTGGCGTAGAGCTGTCATATCTAACCCGGGCCCAAAGTCCGTCCAGGCCTGAATTTGGGCTGGGCCAGACCATGATAATGTGCTGGATGGGCAGGCCGGGTCGGTGTCCGGCTTTTGATAGTGTCAGCGGATCAGCTGCAATCCAATTATATGGCAACATGACTTGCCATACACTCACCAACCATATGCGGTCATTTCACTGCAAGCTGACTGGCCTTGAAAAAGGTAAAATAAAGTTCAGTTAAGCTTCAGATAGGACTACCAGTAGGCTACTGCCAGGAAGCAATCCATCACCCGAATTGAAGTTCAGCCGCTGCACTCAGTGGATGCGCATGGCCGATGAACCAAACAGGTGAGATCCCAAAGCAGACATGTCAGAGCAGGGTCCATGTCTGAATAATGCAGAATGCAGACAGAAGCAGGGATTTAATGCATTTTGACGACCATGAAAGGACAAACACCCCCTCAGCTCCGATCTTCTGCCCCTTTTATTCAGCTACGCACGTCCGCCGACTGTTAATAACTATACAAGCAGTCAAAGCTTAAATAAAAATGTTGGGGGGTTTGGGGGTTCGGACCTGTAATTGCTGTTAATTTGTCAGGTCGGGTGGGGTGCGGAAATGATGGCTATGAGCTGGGCCCGGGTCAGATCGGATTTTTTGGGACTGAATGCAGCTCTAATCTGGTGCATCTTATGTATGAAAACAGACCCATTCATTGATATTGCGCCTTATAATCTGGTGCGCCTTATAATCTGAAAAATACGGTACGGAGAGTTATGTGGTTAATTGAAAGCACAAATAGCAGCAGCAGCTAGCTGTAGCACTTTGGATCCATTTTGAGGTACTTCAGGCCGTAATGTATATATTTGCAAGAGGAAAAAAATCACGCAAAAAAAATACCATATATGTAAAAGTTTATAGAATAACATTAACACGAGATGCAACTTTTGTTGCATGAGGATAGCAGCACTTTGGACCACTCTGTTATTGGTCAATTCTCCAAAGTACCATTTTACTGTTATTGCAGTCCAAACCATTTAACCAGTGAACCCCGCAGAGCAGACAGGATTTCCCATTCTGCATCTTAGCACTTTAATTAGTTACGTTTTTGTGTTCACTCATACATTTATGCAAATTATGTTTAAAATAAAATCCCAATCAGCTCTACTAAAATGTAAAAATGTCTTTTACTAAAAAGCAGGAGAAAATTAAAATCTAACACTTCTTGCACTTTTGTCTATTCATACCAACAAATTGTTATAATTGTACACATGCATCTTTAGGTGTGTTTATTGTCAATGTTTTTACACAAGTTAAAATACTTATTCTAGCATTTAATCTAAATTGAGATCATGTCAAGTAGTATAGCAGAATAACTGAAACAAATCAGGATTTTTTTTCTTCCAAATTTTATTTATTTTTGACTTTTAAAATCTAATTTATTCCACAACATTTCCCACCTGACTCTAGCATTGATTAGTTTGTAGCACTGAAAGCCCTTTTCTCTCCACAACTTCTTCTGACGTTTGGTCATACAGTGACTTTTACTTTTGTTGTGTAATGCTGTTGGAACATTGCACAAAATACAAATATAATAAGTTATATATCATTTGCAAGGATAATATATGCCTCTATGTATAGCTCATATATGTTGATATAGTCAAAAAATGTATTGTACATTACAATCATACTTTTATTGTAGCTGACAAGCACAATTATCATGTATTTTTATTAATTTGCCCAGAAGTCCAGTGTTTTTTTTTTTTGTTGTTGTTAATGGTTGTGGCCCCTCTAGAAATGAAACACCAGCCAATACACAACTATATTTATGTTCGTTTTGTAAGAACTTTGTTTTCTGTCTTTCATAATATTTCTTCCCTGAAAACTACTTCAGACAAGTTCGCTCACTGTGGTCACCTCTGAGGAGCAGCTAAAAGAGGGGGAAATGAAAATGACCTGAAAGTTACCTGTAATGAGAGATCCCTTTCTCCATACACTAACCTCTGTATTTCCATAGCTTTATTGTTTTTGTCAGCATTTATGTGTAAATTAAATGTGTCTATGTAAAAAAATAAATTTAAAAAAAGCACAATAGATTAAAATGTTACATCTGCACCTGTGTTGTACAGACTGTAGCTCCTTGACATTCTCATTTTGGAGACATGACCAGATTGATGAACTATCGTGGCAGCAATCACAAAAATAATCAGCTTTCTTTGAAGAGAATGACCCCAGGTGTCGCCATGGATACCTGTATCTTTAGTGGACAGCATCAGGTACCCAGTGACAAAGCTTAAAAACTGTTGTTTTTTTTACCAGACTGAGAACAAACATCATTTATGTTTTAAAGTGTTCCAACATTATTCTATCTGCGTTCTGGTTAGTCATTTTCCTTTAAATTTTGACAAACTATCGAAAATCAAATAGAATGTGCTTCACACGTATGTAGTTAGTCAGAGATTTATTTGTCATATGCACCACATGTGGTACATGTGGTGGAACGAGATTATTTACACAGGGTCCCAGTTACATCCAACAATAAAATGTAAAAGATAAACAGTAATAAGATCTAAGATATGAACTAAGAAAAACAATAATACACTAACTAATAAGTAGCATAATAAAGTCAAAAGTATCAGAAATTCTTGATTATTGATTTTATTTTGAAAAGGGGCACTGTTTTTCTACCGGTCACAAACCATCTGAGTTTATTTAATCAGATAAATTAAATAAATCAAAATTTACTGGCCTGTTTAAGACAGTCATCATTTATTCCATATTGATTCAATATTTTGGTGAATCTAAGGTTTGAAAATTGAGTTTCCTTACAAAATGCTACAAATCAAAAAGATGGTTTATTTTCAAGGGTGCTGTGTTAAAATTTAGGGGTGCTTGAGCACCCCCCAAACAAAGAGGCTAAAATCACCACTGATGGACATCGTGAACCCCAGTGAATACTGGAAACAGGTCCCTGTGGAGATTCGTTCTTTTTCCTTCTCTCCCGACTTTTTCCAGACTATTGATGATTAAGATCATTGAGTTTTCCGTAAGAGGACATTGCCAAACGTTTTGGGTCCAATCACAGAAAGGTGCTTTAAAATTAAAATTACTTCTTTGTTTAAACTTCACACAAATTAAACGTATTCTTAATTTACTCTACTTTGGAAGTACCAGTTACTAAAGATAAAATGTAAGCCCTTCTAATTATGTGATTTAAGTAAAAATTAGCTGATCAACATTTTTCATTAAAAACTTATAAACAAAAAGAAAAAGGTGAGATCTTTTGATTAAGGTTTCTTTTCATAACATTTCTGTCTACGCTCCAACAATGAAGCTGTCAGCTGAAAAGACAGAAAACACGAGGTTTAAAACAGTAATTTTAGAAATAATTCCCATACATTAAACAAAAAAAATTATTTCTTCATTCTGCTGCCTGGAGGTGCTGTTGGACCGTGAATTTGTTCCACCAAACAATGCGTTTGAGGGCTGGACAAAACTCCTTTAATGTTATGGAAAAGATTGAAAATGTTTTTCAGACAGACGAGAGAAATGTTTGGACGGGTTGGCGGAAAACAGCTGCCAACAGGTGCCAGCTTCTCTATTTACATCTGAGAGGATGTAAAAACAACACAGCTCGTTCCAACAACTGGTCTGCTTAGACTCCGACCTTGGTCCAAACGTACACTTGCTCATTCAAAGACAGAAAATCAGAAAATGCATAATTACTCTGTAACAGGCCTTAACATGAATTCTAACTTTGCATGAGGATAAAAAAAATCATTACTGTTTCACAGTTAATAAAAATTGATTAGTTCACTGCAACATCTAAAATGGTTTGAACTAAAACACTTTGATTATCAACATTTGTAAAATAGTAATGATAATAGAAAAGAGAGTGTTCTTTCACTTGTATTTTCAAGAAAGAAAGTCTCAGGATGGGTCAACCTGTATTTCTGGATTCAAATCAATGAAATGACAGTTTCTGTCCCATATGGTCAGTTTTGATGTCAGGCTTAGTTCACTACATTTGTAATTTACCACTGTGGGAAGGCTCTCCCTGGCACTGAAGGTCAAAAAAATTTCTTAATGGTCTGTTTAAACTCAGGACGTCTCTTTTGCGAGTTCACCGGATGATATCAGCTTTAACATCAGAAAACATCCTTTTGTGAAGTTGTCCAGATCCTGTTTGAACTGAGTTTCAGGTGATGAAACAAAACTTGCACAGAGAGGAGACCAGTCTCATTTTAAAAGTATCAGAAAAAGCCGTCTGATGAGGAAGTATAAATATATGGGGAGGAACTCTGAGGGATGTGAGACACCACACGTGAGATGCTTTATGTATATTTCCTTTAATTATGCTGTCATCTTAATAAAAAGGCAGAGAAAAGTCATTTCTGAGTCATAACCAAAGCCGGAGGTGGTGATGAAAAAACATTTTCTCACCTCCTCCTTAAATGTTCTGGATAAGAAAACTGAATCAGCAACACCAAACTTGTCTGATATTGTAAAAGAAAAAAAAAAAAAAAAGGATGTTGAAGCAGAACAGCAAAGATAAGTAGTGATGAACAATGATTGTGAAAATACTCAAAAATTAAACATTTTGCATGAATATGGAGAGAAAACTTATTGATCTGTTTAGGCTTCACAGATGCACAAAATTTACCTTTTTTTTTTTTTTTAACCAAAAATTATTACACAAATGCTTAATCAAAAACGAAACAATTTAAACTAAAACAATGATTATAACATTAAACCATAGTAAATCAATTATTTTACTGCTAATAAAATGTGTTGTTTTGCTGTTAGAATGAAGCTGAAGACTTTTTTTATTCTTTATTCTTAATAAAAAAAACCTGAAAACACTTTCATATCAATTTAAAACCAAAATAAAAGGATAAAAAAATAATTGTAAAGACATAATGGAAAGTATTAAGCAAGACAAATGAATGAAAGTATTTGATAAAACCGGCTTTTACAATTAATGAATTCCACCACTTAAAACAAAAATCAGTCGGGTATCACTACAAAGCTGCTCCTTTGGGCCCAACCTGTAATAACCTCTTATGTCTAATAACTAAAACAAAAGCATATATGAGTATTATATATATATAAATGACAACAACCCCCCCACCCCCATCTATAGAGAGATAAACATGTTCAGATACATAGCACAAGCTGCAAATTACAAAATAAAAGCTTGTAAAAGTAACATTTATAAAAGGGGGAAAATAATAATTTTAAATAGCATACAACACAAAAATCATTGTGGTAAATTAAAAAAGAAATTAATAGGAGGAGGAAAAAGTTCAGGACAGGATAGTAACTCATTTGGCACAAAACAACTGAAAGATCAACTCCAATTCATTTTGGTGAAATTCACCCGAGTCTGGCTCCTCAAAACACACATTTTGATGGAATGTTTAAAGTAAAAGTAGATGATATGAAATTATTTAAGACCATCTAATTGACAACTATGGGTTTTCTTTTTACCATTTTACAAATTACTGAGCAGTGAAATCAAACTATTTCTCTAATTTCAGTAGCCCTTAAAGAATAACATAACATTTCTAAACAATTACAATTAATGCAATTTTGTTACGTTCAAATTTGGACCTTGAACAACTTCAGACTTGAATCTACTTTATAGAAAATACTACCGTTCATCTGCTTCAACAGATCAACACATTCTAGTCTTTCATGTCATATCAACCAATGTAATATAAAAAAAATCTACAAACTAAATAGCCAAAGCTTCATAAGTTTGACATCTTTGGACAACAGAATGCTTTGTCTTTTACCGTTTCGTTCCCTCACAGCTGAATAAAACGTTCCACTTTTCTTCAAGCAATCTTTAAAGCAACATGGCTTCATGCTTTCAGCATCACACAAATGTGCTGCAGTGTTAGTGGAAACAATACAACTGGAAAGCAGCCTATGCAAATAATAATTAAAAATAAAAAGTAAAAAAAAAAAAAATACTATTTTGAGATAGAACTGTGTCCACATACGTCCATAGTTTATTGTTTACATGTGGAAGTCTGAATAGCCTCTGAAATCCCTGGTTGAGCAGGTCAAATTGACCAACAACTATCAATGGGATATGTCGAGGGTTCAAGTTCTTGCAACGACTACTTTGCCTGGTAAAAAAAAAAATACACAAGTGGTTGTACAATAGTTTGGCAAAATGGTTGCCCATGGGATACGAGCCACATATGCTCCAATAAATGAGCATCAGAGGTATCTGCAACCCAGCCGACACAGTGATACAGCCAGCAAAGCACCTCTCCAACCCCCCCACCCGGCGCAGTAAATCAGGGGTATGAGCCTACAGTGTGTGTCTAAACTGAAAATAAAATAAATGAACACATTTGAATAAGACAAAAAATCAGATTTTTTTTATATGAGTAACAGCTCAAAAACACACAATACAAGACTCTTAAGACTCAACATAACTCTATCACTCTAGCCTAGAAATAAGAAATTACCATTACAGAAGTCAAACATGAAAATGTGAGAAGATTCTTTAAACATTCAGTGGAACTACTCATTTTAGCTCTGTTAGTAATAGTGGCATATCTGTATCCTGCTGCCTGGGTCATTCTTTCCTGGGCTGAAGAAAGGGTAGACGGGTTCCTCAAAGCATGTGTCGAACATGAACAATCTCTTCATGGTTACTGCGTCATAGAAACTGAGACGACCGTTGTCGTAATCTAAGTACACACCGACTCGAGGGGAGTTCCAGTAGTCGGCGACAGGCATGCGCCCGTCTTCCACGTTGGCATACAGCCGGTCCTGCAGGCACAGGCTCCAGTATCCTGAGGAGGGAGTGAGATTGACAAAGCCCTTCCTGTTGCTGCATTCAGTGGTCACACCTAGGTACCACACACCTTTGTCCCTGACGTCCACTTCCCAGTAGTGCTGACCACTGGCATACTGGGCTGTGGCAAGGACACCGCAAAACCGATTGAAACGGCCAGGCAGGTCCGGCTCCTGGATGCGAATGCGGCCCTCCTCCACTTTGGTATCAAAGTCTGAGATAAAAAGGTTTAGGTGAGCGGTGTCTGGGTCCAAGGTGAGATTCTGAGGCACTGCAAAGAAAGAGACCGAGAGGGATAACTTCATAAGTTACCGCTAACTGGGTTGAGTCAGGTCCTCTGGACGGATTCTTCTTTGTTGAAACATTTAGTCTTTTATCCAAAAGACTTCTTCAGTCTGAGGCGCTGCAACAAACTCAGTCTTATCCACCTTTTTCCTGGAAGCTCTACTGTAAAAATGATTATGGGCACAACTTCCTGTCAGACACAGGAAGTAGCAGTAAGCATTGGTTAACCATGGTAGCGGAGCACGGACCACAGTTTATTTCAAAGTAATTTGTATTCAGTTTAGCAGATAAAACACTGTTTTTGTTTTGTTAACATTTATTTAACCATTGTAAAGTTTACTAAAATAGCCGTGCTGAGTTCATGTACATGTTGTGTTCGAAGCTGCATGAAAAACCAGACCAAACTAAATCAGTGGCTACAACAACAGCGCTTTGAACATGGACTCAAAAAAAAAAGAGTGTTCCTGTGAAAAGCTATAAAGTTTCCATCTCCTACCTACAGATGAGGAATTGAGAAGAATGTGTCTGAAAACTCTGAACTTGAAGAGACCACCCAAAATGCTGTCTGTGTGCTCATTTCACTTTGTGGACAAACAGCCGATGGAGGAAAACCTGCATCCAACTTTGTGTCTGGGCTACAATAAACCACTGGAGAAGAGACGTTGGACTCAGAAGGATTGAAAACAGTGTGACGAGAACATCAGGCATGATTTCAAGTGTATGAATACACAGCATTATAGTATTTGTTCATCTTCAGTTTCTCTGCAATTAACCGAAGCTCAGTGATGGAGGACTTTAGGACGTTGGCTGGATTCTACGTCTGCTTTAAAGTAAATAAGATTGTGTCCCACCTCTTTTAATAAAACACGACTGACCTTATTACTGTGTAGATACGCATACATCTAAAAATAGATTGTTAGTGCGCTGATGGCTGCTTGTTATTCACAGAGGGCTGAGCGATACTGTGTATTTGTGAATAACAAGCGGCCATGAGCGAACTAACAATCAAATGTTAGGGTGATGGCCCTCATTTTACACGTGAATAGCTAGTTCAGGAGGTCAGCAGCAAACTGCTTGATCCACTGTAAGAAGGTGCTTTTTATAAGACTGAGTTTGTTGCAGCTCCTCAGACTGAAGTATTGTGAATAAAAGACGAAACGTTTCTACAAGAAGAATCCGTCCAGAGGACATCACTTGACCTTTTAGATTTTTCTACCTGGATTATTGAGCATGCATCAGGACATGCATAAGTTACCATTATTGTTGACATAATCATACACATTTAGCTGATTGTGACATAATTTAGCACTTTATTTTGGCAACATGGAAGCTGTCAGTCATATTTTAATGCAAAGCAGATGTACTGGACTAAAGCCAGTCTTTAATTCATGCAGCAAGAGTTTTTGCATCAACTCACTGGTGTGCAGCACGTGCATCATCTTCTTCCACATGATGAGCTGGAAAGGCCCTGAGAAGTCTGTAAAATCATCTGGACAACAAACTGGCTCAAGGGTGGTGAAATGCTTGCAGTGTATTGCTCTGAAGACAAATTACAAAAATAAAACATAAATAAGACAAAGGCTAGTATTTTTTTATTTTAGTCCAACAAAAAGCTTCAACTTTGGTCTACTTACTCATTGTATGTTTCAGCAAGGTGCTGTTAGAAAAGATAAAGAAATAAAACAAATTTAAAACATTCCTAAAGACACAAAGTTTGTTTTCTCAATCATCCAGGTATATAACAACAAAAAAGGTTGAATCATGTCATCTGGACTTCGTTTTTTTTGTTAAAAAGAAACGTTTCGCCCCTCATCCAAGAGGCTTCGTCAGTCTGAGGCCTAGCCATCTGGTATTACCCAGAAGCCACCCTGACTCTTGTGTTTCAAGCCTGCCTCAGATACCCCTGAAGTCTGGCCTTTTCACTAATGGTTTCAAAAA